TATGGTCATTGATCACATAGGAGTAGCACCATCATGCAGATGAGGCATTCCCAAGCTCTCAGACCAAGCCAATAGGGGTTACCTGCTGCCAGACCTTAACCCACCCCAAAACTGTATATAGGGGCCAAACTCAGAAGTAAAAGTGTTCAAGATTCTTCCTGTTGTCTGAGAGCTTCTGTTGCGGTCCCTCCCGTCTTCTCTGGCCAGCCAGTGCCTCACTGGGGCACTTCAAAGAGCTGTGACACTTTTCAAAGAGCTGTAACACTTTTCCCCTCTCAGCCATCACTGAGACACAGTTGGTGGCAGGGGCAGCAGCAGACTCTCCCTGTGTGCACTCCATCCCTCTCAGACCGCCCGCGGACAGAGACAGCCAGGCAGCCGCTGTTTGCACCCTGTCCTCAGCCAGGTCAGAAATCCTCGTGGGACCCAACTGGAGATGGACCCACAGGAGACCAATTCAAACAGATAATATGTCAAGTTACAAATATATTTGGGAGGATTTCCGGTTCCAGGTTTATTAAACACCTTCTTTTTAAAATTTTTTATTGGGTATTTTATCTACATTTTATCTACATTTCAGACATTGTTAGCACATGTAATGCTCCTTCCACACATCAGGTTTAGTAAGGAAAGCTGGCTGCAGAGAGTGGCGGTGTATGGGTGGGTCATGTGGAATTGACATGAATCCTGTATTCTGATCCAGTGTTGTTGGTTCTGGGTCTCTATTCATGCCTTTAATGACTGTCTTTATACAATGTGATAAATTTCATACCAGTAGTGTTTCTCCCTCTTCTATGGCATAAACACTATATGGCACAAGTATCAGCTCTTTATTAAAGGTCTGGCAGAATTTAGCAGAGGATCCTTCCAGCTCTCTCTCTCTCTCTCTCTCTCTCTCTCTCTCTCTCTCTCTCTCTCTTTCTCTCTCCACCTTCCCTCCCTCCCTCCTCTCTCTCTCTGTCTCTATTGAATTTTATATATATTTAAAATATAAGATGCATATATTTAGAATTAGTCAGCATTTTTTAAATTCATAAGCTCACTATGCAAAATTAAAACATCCAGAGAAATGTTAGAATTATGCCAAATATCCTGCAGTGGTCTTTAAGCTTTTTCCTAATTACAATGACTATCATTGTAAGTTTTAGAAGTAACACATATCCAATGTTACTTGTCATGACTCTGGAGATGACTCCTTACTCTTAAACTCTGTGCCTCTTCCAATAATTTGAATAGGATAAAGAGCATTAATCCTTTGTTCCAAATGCCTATCTAAATCCTCGTGTATACTCAACACATTAGTAACATTTTTTTTTCTAAATGATTAACAAAAGTAGCTGTCTTAACTTCTCGTGTCAAAGTAATTGCAGAAGCAGTGGTGCTAGAAATTAATGTAATTAAAGCTATTATACCAGTAATAATCGAGCCCACTACCCACTTTCTTCTGCTTAAAGCCTGACTTACTTCTTCCAGTATTTGCAAGCTTTTTTTTTCCAGAATACTAAGGTAATACTCTGCATACCCTAAGAATATCCTGTAATACTCAGGACAATAAAACAAAAGCTGTTAGATAGACCTTGATATCAGACATGCCAGGTTTCAACACACTAACATAATTAGAAAGTGTATCATCAATGCAACTTACATTAAATACTATAGAAGAAACAAAAAATATTTTAACTTGACAATTAAAGGAGCCTTAACACCAGTACTAACACTTGTTTGAAATCCAGATCCTATAGCAGTCTGTTTGTGAGGGCCAGCAAGTAAAAGCAACTGGAGAATAAGACACTGGGATGAGATCATGAGCCTATATCTGAAAGATTAACTGACAAGCTTAACTATTCAATGCTCTTTTTAACTTAAATGATGAACAACAATGCTTCCATCAAGTCTTCCACTGTTCTAGGGTAAAAGGGGTTATTAAATCTAAAATAATTATTTTTAAAAAGGTAGACTAGAGGTGAATAAATGGTTTAGCAGTTCAGAGCACTTCTTGTTCTTGTGGAGGACCCATTTTTAGTTTTCAGCACCCACATCAACTAAGCAAGCCTGGTGGACTTGAGCCAGAAGCCTAGGCAAGAATCGCATTTGGGCTTCCAGGTGTTATAGGGCGGCTCACCTAAAACCTTTTTTGCAGTCCATGACTTAGTGTCTTGGCACGCACAGCACAATTCCTGATTTCAATTTCCCTTCCTGTTTCCACAACCTCTGATTTCCAAAGTATAAAGTCTCCTCCAGAAAGTACAGCACTAGCAAGATGGGAAAATTCCCGAGGCTTGAGCCACCCCTCAGTGATGGATTCCAAGAGTGCCAATGTGAATGGACCTATGGGGCCATAAGCTGATAGTGCCACCTTAATTTTCTCTAGAATTTTGATATTGAGTGGTTTATAGGAAAAAGTGGCGGTACCTCCTCCTGCTCAATTGAGGATGACACAGGTGGCAGGGGATTCGCTGCTTCCTGTGAATCAGGTTGTAGTTCATCATCTATAGCTTCCTACCTGCCCACTTCCTGTCCCTCCTCCAAATCAGTCCGTGGGGATGGGGCATCTCTAGAAATTATAGTTCCACTTCTTAGGGAAAGGGGGAAAGCCAACACTCTCTTTTTCTTTGATTTAGTGGAGATCTGTTGAGAGGAAGGTTCAGGGCTCTCCATGCCACCGCTCACAGAAGCTGTGGCCTCTTTTCCGGCTGCCAAGGAAGGAGGCATAAGGCTAAGCAGTTCTGTCTCCATCTGCTGGAGCACTCTAACTAAGTGGACCTCCTCCTTCCTTGTTTCTACCATATAGCCTGAAAATGCCACATCAGTATTCAGCTGGTGGCAACCATCAGACATAGCAGGTGTGTCAAAAACTACATCCAAATTTGTATAAGAAGGCAGCAGAAAAAAGGGCAGGAGTGTGGCAACACCTGTCAGTGGGGGAGCTGAGGCCAAGTCAACTGTGGCTGTCCTGGGCACTTTTTTACGGGTCGCTCTGCCATGAAATTTGTTTTATCTGCAGATGGCAGGCAGCCAGCATCCTCAAAGGCGAATAAAGAGGGATAGGGGCCTCTCTTAGACTCATTATGAGAGGGTTTCGAAGGAGGGTTTTGTGTGTGTGTGTGTGTGTGTGTGTGTGTGTGTGTGTGGAGGGGGATTAGCAGCGTCTCCCATGTCAATAATGACTGACATGTGGGTAGACCTGTCCAAGGTACTGTTAGCCACTAAAGGCAGAGCTGAAAGAGGCTTTTCTCTTAAAGGGGACAGAGGCTGTGTAGGCACGTCGGTTGCTAGGTTAGCTGAATGGGAATTGAAGGCATAGTCTTTAAGAGAGCAATCTCCTTCAGAAATCAAATGCTGGAGATCTGGCCATTCTGGGGTAGTTCTAAGAATATCACTAATGAGAGACCAATAGTTAAAAGCTGTAACTGGCATTTTGTAAGGCCCAAATGTTTCATAATAATCTTTAAAACAATCGCCGACTCAATGCCATCTTCTCTCATCAATAGTCCCCTCCTGGGAAAACCATGGACAAATTTCTGAAAAAAAATCTAAGAATTGTATTAAATCCTTTTTCTTAACCCTGGTTTCTCTAACTTTGAGTGATTCCTTGAGTCCTGTCATGAATAGTGACTGCTTAGAAAATGTTTGTCCCAAGCTTTGTCTTTAACCTTAATTCATTGTATCCTGAGTTGAATCACTCCTTGAGGCTATCACAAATAGTGATTGCCAAAATACCTGTCCCAATACCCTTTGCCTCAGGGCCTTGTCACTCTGATCCTCCCCAGGATCATCTTACGGTTGGGTGGACCGTGTTGTCCTCCTTCTGAATCGAGACCACTCTCAGGCAGACCTCCAGAGTCATCCTCTTGGATATTACTGAGAAATTCCAGAGCCAAGCCTCTAGGAGTCACTCTATAAAGTGCTCTGAGATTCAAAATGCCTTCATTCACTCCAGGCAGCCACCCTCAAAGCTCTTGAAAACCTGGTAAGCTTACCTTCCTCTGTAAGAGTCTGCTCTTCTTTTTCTGTGATCTCCTCAAGCCCCTGAATGTGTGTGTGGGGGGGTGGCAGAACATTTCGTCTTCAAGCTCCAAAATGCTGGGCGCCAAAATGTCCTGTCCAGCAGGGCATTAAAGAGGGGTCTGGGGAGATCACCTGAAAGAGAAAGTGGGGGGACAGGCTGATGCAAAGAAGGTGATCTGTCTATAGTCTGATCAAAACGCAGATTTTACTTTCTTCACACAGGGGTTATATACACAAAAAAGGCAGGATGAGGGGAAGGGGATGACGCAGGAGCATTGGTGTTCAGGGGGAGTACAGATATCTTCCAGAACACAGTATCAGCTGGATGAAGGTTCAGGAGACAGATCACTATGACTCTGCCTATGATTCACTTCTCCTTATCTAAGTTGGAACAATCCACCAAGGCTACTTATCTACAATATCTATGACCATTAATTCTTATCCAGGCTGGTAAATTTCGACCAAATGTGCCTGTTTACAATATCTTATAGCTATCTGTTTCAGTGTTTTTCCACAGAGACCAAGACTTGGTGCTAGCAGGCAAGTATGTCAGGCCTATTGCTGATTTTAGGTCTTCAGTGTATAAGCAAGGGTGCCCCTGACAAGTAAATCCTCAGTGAATGGAAAGTCAAAGGAGGACGCTGATGGTGAAGGGATAGCAGAGATATGGTCAGGGAGTTAGGGGAAAAAGGAAAATCATCCAACAATAAATAAATGTTAATAAATATTTAAATGATGAACAATAATTGATACAATCATGCAGTTTGTTAGGAAATAATTAAGTTATAAAGCCTGAAGGATGGGACACACATACATATCTATTTATAAAACGTTTCATTATTTGAGATATTTTTTCCAAACATAACTAGAGCTCTGTTTTGAGATGCCAGAGAGTAAGAGAGAACTGAGAGACTTAGTATCAGTGAACTGCAACCCCAGGAGGTTGTTGTTCAGCCCTGGAGTACTTTGGGAGGAAGTTCCTTCCTTTGCTGTCAGTAATACATTGCAGCATCATTAGCCTCCACAGGATGGATGGTGAGGGTGAAGTCTGTCCCAGACCCACTGCCACTGAAATTGGCAGGGACCCTAGATTCTAGGTAGGATGCCTGATATAAGAGGAGTTTGAGTGGCTGTCCTGGTTTCTGTTGATACCAGTTCATAGGATTAATGACGCCAAATAAACTGACGCTTTTGCTGGCCCTGCAGGAGATGGTGGTCCTCTGCCCTAGAGACACAGCCAAAGAAGCTGGAGACTGGGTCAGCACAATGTCACCATTGAATCCTGGAATGTTAAACACAGACTATTGTTATATATGTATAAAAACCTTCCCAGCAGAGGACCATTTCCTTTTAAAAATTTCAAGAATACTGTAGATATCACTATGAGAAACCAGGAAATCAAAGAGAATTGGGAAACTTAAAATTATTTACAAATTCCCTAATTATAGTGATCAAGAGCCCAGAGGCATGGAAAGTTATGATGGACACAGAGGTTGCTCCCAACAGTTCTCTGCATCCTCACCTGGAACCCAGAGCATCAGCACCCATAGCAGGAGTGTGTCTGTCTTTATCTCTGAGAGCTGGAAGAGAGGATGCTTCTTAGGCTCCGGAAAGCTAACTTTAAAAGAGCCTGGGCTGTTAAATAATGCCTCAATATGCAAATCAGCTTAGCAGAGTGTGTACTGCTGATTCAAGGGAACTGCTCCTGTTTCACCCACAGGAAGTTGATGCCAGCAGAAAATTCACTAGAGCAACACATATGTCTTAGAGTCCTTCTAAATATGTTTTTGAGGCAGGATTTTTCTATCTATTCTGGGTTTTCTTGCAGCTCATTCTGTAGACCAGATCCTCCTGTCTCTGCCTCTCAAGCATTGGGATTAAACGTGCACACCATCACCACCCAGCTTTTCCTTGCAGTCTATTCTATTAAATATTTACTCTCTAGTCTTTTTGAGGTGTGAGGTAAGGGAGTACATTGTAGCTATACTATGTAAAGAATGTAAATTAATTTAAGAACAACTTGATCCCTGAAAATTGTACACACCCAATAAAAGCATTATCTGAGAGGGAATAGAGAAAAATGATTCAATGAAGAAAAGTAAATTAAGTTTTGGCATACTACTTTATTTTTTAGACCCATGTTTAGATCTCTGTGTGTGATGTGTCTTTATATGTTTTTATATTTGTTCATGTTCATGTTTGAAGGCAACTTCTCTTGCCATGGTATGTGGGTAGAGATCAGAAGACACATTTGAGTATAGCTCTGAGACAAGGTCTGTTGTTGTTCACCACTACTCACGAAATGTTTCCTAGGCCAGGTTTTTGTGGGGATTCTCTTGTTTCCTTCCGTCTCTCATCTTGCACAAATACAGACCATGCTGGTGTTGCATCTGAAATTTTGTGGCTACCTGGGATGTGAGCCAGGTCCTCACACCTAAGTGAAAAGCACTTTGCTCACACAGCCACCCTGTTAGTCCATTGTCTTCAATAAAACCAGTGAGATGAAGTTTTTTTATTGAACAGAAGTAATACTACAGGATAAGCAGGAGTTCAAAAACAAAGACCTGAAGCATGTAATGGAGATGTGCACAGATGCATCTTTTGTGTAGTTCTTCAATACATCCAGATTATTAAAAGTCAGATATCTTGTATTTTGTCATGGTGATAAAAAGCTAATTAACAAAACTATTGATTCTCAGAGAAACTGTAAGATAGACAGATAGATGGACAGTTAAGACAGTGAAAAGAATATAGATAGAGAAGCTAGTATTTCTTTGTATTCTCATAATGCTGCTTACTTTCTAAGTTTAACTAGCCAGAAGTTTGGATTTCCTAGCAAGATGGTGGTAAGTTAATAGTAGTATTTCAATTATATAAGAAAATAAAAAAGTTATAAGAAGCCTTATAAAAAGAAGGAAGAGTAAGAAGAATTGAAATGGGGAGAGTAAGAAGAAAGGAGGGATAGGGAGGCAGGAAAGGCAAAGAAAAAGAGAAGAACAAGAGAAGGGAGGAAGAAGGAAGAAAAAATGAGAAAAAAGAAATGATAAAGAGGGAGGACAAAGAAAAGATGGACAATTACCTCCTCAGCTTTTACTCACTGTTTCTGTTTCCAGGTCCCTGCCATGTAGAGATGGATCCTTTTGTTTTATTGTACACATTCACTGTACTGAACCAGATACAGTTCAAAGATGAGATAAACAGGGCAAACCAAATATATATTGCATGAAATTAGCAAGTCATCCTTCATATTTTACCTATTTTGTGGTATGCTCACTTTTAGTTGACTTTTGTATTCAAATTAGAATGTTGACCTGTTATAATATGGAAAATTAGGTAATATTTCTTATTTTTGCCCAGAATAAGAACTATTTCTATATTATGCAATGTATACTATCCATCCCAAGGACCATACATTTTTAAATAACCCCAAATCAAATAGATATTAATTTAATGCTGGTTATTATTGGTGGTTGACAATAATAAATATTTCTGATATTATTCTACTGTTTCCATGAGTTTCTCTCTTTGCTCTTAGTGCTCTTGGCTTGTCTTATATATAGTGTCAAGAACTGCACTTCTTTCAGGCATGATGATGTATTCTATTAATCCAAACACATAAGAAGCTGAGGCAGGAGGACCTTGAGTTTGTAGTCCTTTAGGACACATAGCTTGGGTTACCCAGATTACCAAATCTTCTGCCCCTCTCCAAGCCCCACATCTTCATCTATTTTTGCATATAGTCCTGTTAATATATTTTTTATTTATACTGACTTTGTTCTCTTTTTTAATGACTTAGAAGTTAACTTTATATTCATTATCATTGGTCCTTTTGCTTCAGTGCAGCAAAATGACCCTCTCATCATGAGCGGAGACTCAGTACCCTCTGACAGAAAGATGGATAATATCATAGAATAGAAGATATATGGGTCAGGGATGTTGCTGTTTGTAATGGAACACAGATGTGCAAACAAGAGTGACCATTGAGAATTAGGTACCTGATCCCATCCCTGAGACAAGAAATTTGGCCATAAACAGCTCAGAAACAAACTCTTTGAAGTACACATAAGTCCTGAAGTATAGGGAAAGGATAGGCTGGGCTTTTCAAAGGAGGACAAAGGAATTGAGTGTAGAAGCAGTCATGGGCCTGAAGCTAACATGCTGGAAATTGGTTAAGAAGAATAAGTTTTATTCATAGTGCAAAGGGAGCCCATGGGACAGAGGTCATAAAGAGTTCATGTCTTTCAGTGAATAATATTTTGTGAACGTTTTGCTTGACACACAGCAAAAATAAAAAAAATCATGTGAAAGCTGTTGTCATTTCTACCATTTCTGAACTGTTAGTTCTTTTACCATATCATTTTTTGAATTTACAAAATGATATTAAGAATTGTCCCCTCTGAACAATACTCAGTTCTTAGATGACAAAGCTTTTAAATTCAGACTTCATTTTAGAGAACTTTACTTAAGTTTGAACCTAACAGTGTGGCATTTAGCAATCATTTCCAAGTTGCCTCCCAACAAAACCTGAGCCTAGCTCCAGTCTCTATGGTAGATACAGAGGGCTTTGAGTTCGTATATACTCAAACAAAACTATCCTGCATGACAGTCGTGTGTTGGGTGGGAGGACCTGAGCTAGCTTAAATAGAATAAAGACCTTCCTGTGAGTTGCATCAGATTGGAACTTGTGTTTGTTTTTAGGTATCACTAACATTTCCCTGGCACAACAATTCCACATACCTAACTTAGAATAAGTGAGCATATAGTAAATTATAATTCTATGTAACGCTACTACATAGAAACATTTGTTGACCCAATAATTGCCTACCTTGGCATCACACTTTCTCCCTGGGTTCAAAAGACAGTAGTTCAATTCCTCTTGTCAAAAAATTTTGCAGCTATGGTGATAGAGATTTATCTGTTCCTCTGCCCTCTAGTCCAGTACTCTTTACCCACCCTCTTTGTTTCTATGGATTGTGTTGACACCTGTTCCTTTTAACCTAATTGTAGCCATTTTGTATTCAGTCTCCATTTTGCTCATAATGTGAAATAAAGTTCAGGTTATTAGACTCTACTTCACAAAAATAAATTCACAGCTGCCAATGAAGAATGTTATTGATAAGCCAAAAAGTTATGGTTGAATCAATCATACTGTGTTGCTCAAAGTTCTGAAATTCTCCTGTATACCTATCTGCTACCCCATTATCTTAGGACTAATCAGTTTAAAAGTTAGCCTATAATACCTTGTCTAGTAAGTACAAATTTAATACTGCTCCCTTTTTTGCCTTTTACATTTTTGGACCATTTTTTCTATAAAAAGCCTGCCCTGAGAATTGTTTAATATTATAATTTCAGACCAAGTTATGAACTATGTTTGTAGTCCTAACACTATTAAAGTCATTAAATTCAATTAACTATTCTTGCTTAACTGAGATCAGTGTTTGGCTGGTTTATGTGGAGATTTTTGAACCCCAACAGACTCTAATTTGCTTATCATTGACTTCACAGCTAATATCCACAGTAAAAGAATATATTCCATGTCCATCTTTTTAGTCCAAGGTTCCACATTCAGGAGGACTTTTCTACTGTTTGCTTGCAAATTCCATGTTGTTAGTATGTGTGTGAGTGTGTGTGTGTGTGTGTGTGTGTGTGTGTGTGTGTGTATGTGTGCATCTGTGTGTTTGTTCTTTGTCCATTCTTCTGTTGAGGGACATCTAGGTTGCTTCCAATTTCTGGCTTGTACAGAGCACCAGTGAACATGGCTCAACAAGTGTCTCTGTGGTAGAATGAGGTATCCTTTGGGTATATGCCCAAGAGTGATGTAGCTGGATATTGATGTAGATTTTTCTGAGGATCTACCATACTGTTTTCCATAGTGGCTGAATGAATTTTCATTACCACCAGGAATGTATGAGTGTTCCTTTTACTCCATATTCTTTCAAGATTGAGCTCACTTGTTTTATTGATCGTTGTCATCAGATCCTGTTAAAGGATATTTGAACCTGTTTCTAATTAGTGTGTGGCTCAGCCCTTGCTATGCTCCTTTAGTCCCTCTGACTGGAATACAGGCACACATTTAGTATGTACCTTTATTCCTGAACCTGGAACGTAACATTAATTTGTAGAGGGAAACACTCCTGTTTGAAAGTGATGTCTAATTGAGTTGCAGAATGAGATAAATCAGAGAATTTGACAAAATAGGATATGCCCCACTTTCAGGAGAGGAGCAAGGAAAGGGAAGATAATTAAGAGAGAGATAGTAAGGGAAGAAGAGTGTACAGTACAGGAATACAGTAGAGTTCATGGAGAGCAATAGAGTAGAGTTTTAGCCTAAGATTTAGGTTCCTGCCTGAAAGTATTTCTTTGTTCTAGCCTAATATCGAATTCTTGCCTAAAGACCATTTCCTTGTCCTTGGCCAATGTCACATTCCTGCTAAGGAGCCCCAAAAGCACTCCATATCTTTCTCTTTGTTTATTTCATGAAGAAGACTGAGACTGTCTTAGGTCATTTGTCCAAGAATGCCTTTCTTATCTGTCATGGAATATGCATTATCCAAAGCAATGAATTCCTGTCTTAGGTTGGTAAGGCTCTGTGCTGAGTCTTACCTGTCCTTTGCAACATTACATTAAATACTTTA